TGTCACCTCCTGTCACCCCCTGTCACCCCCTGTCCCTTCTTGAAACCAGGGACACCTCCTGTCACCCCCTGTCCCCTCCTGTCACCTCCTGTCACCCCCCAAACCCAGGGTCACCCCCTGTCACCTCCTGTCACCTCCTGTCACCTCCTGTCACCCCCTGTCACCCCCTGTCACCCCTCCTGTCCACAACCCCCCCTGTCCAACCCCCCCCTGGTCACCCCTGGTCACCGTCTGTCACCCCCTGTCACTCCCTGTCCCTTCCTGTCACCCCCTGTCACCCGCCCCCCCGGCCCTGTCACCGTCTGTCAGCCACGCCGCCCTGGCACCCCCTGTTCACCAAACCCTTCACCTCGGTCACCACCCCAAACCCGCCCTGTCAACCCACCCCCTGTTCAAACCCCCCATGTCACCAGCCCCCCCTGTCCACCCCCTGGTCACCCCCCTGGTTCCTGTTCGACTCTGTCACCCCCCCTGTTCAACCCTACCCCCCTGTCACCCCCCTGTCCCACCCGTCTTGTCACCACCCCCCCCCCCGCTGTCACCCCTTTTGTTCACCGCCCCTGTTCACCCCCCCCCTGTCCACCCCACCGACCCCCCCTGTCAACCGCCTGTCACCCCCCCTGGCACCAATAAACCCCCCCAGCCCCCCCCCGTGTCTGTGGCTAACCTACCCAACCCCACTAACCAAGCGTTGGTCACGGGCCGGTGGCCCCCGGCGGGTCCGGCTTGGTCCGGGCTTGTCCCCGGCTCGGGGACACGAAGGGACACGAAGGGACACGAAGGGACACAAAGGGACACGAAGGGACATTGGCCCCCCGGGGACACCGCGGGGGGGGGACACACACCTGGGGATGGGGGGGGTGGGGACACTGGAAAGGGGGGGGTTTGGGGACACGGGGGAGGGTTTGGGGACATTGGGGAGGGTTTGGGGACATTGGGGGACACTGGGGACACCGGGGAGGATTCTGAGGATATTGGGGACACTGGGAGGGTTTGGGGACGCCGGGGAGGGTTTGGGAGCATTGGGGGATATTGGGGGATATTGGGGAGGGTTTGAGGACACTGGGGAGGGTTTGGGGGGCATTGGGGAGGATTCTGAGGATATTGGGGACACTGGGAGGGTTTGGGGACACTGGGAGGGTTTGGGGACACTGGGAGGGTTTGGGGGCATTGGGGAGGGTTTGGGGACACTGGGAGGGTTTGGGGGCATTGGGGGATATTGGGGAGAGTTTGGGGACATTGGGGAGGGTTTGGGGACACTGAGGAGGTTTTGGGGACATTGGGGAGGGCTTGGGGACACCGGGGAGGGTTTGGGGACATCGGGGACCCCGGGGCCAGGGGGGGTTGGGGACATTGGGAGGGTTTGGGGACCCCGGGGCCGGGGGGGTCGGGGCCAGCGGGCCCTGCCGTTGTCCCCCGGGTTGTCACGGGGACAGGCCACCCCCCCCCCGGCCCCACCCAGGGGACGTCCCTGTCCCCGCGCCCATAAATGGGGGACAGCGGGAGGGGTCGGGCAGTGCCCGGAGGTGACAATGGGGACACGCGCGGTGGCCTTGGGGACGCTGCTGCTGCTGCTGGGGGGTGAGGGGACAGCGGGGGACATTGGGGGACATTTGGGGGGGACATTTGGGGACAAGGGGGGCACTGGGGGCCACGGGGACATTGGGGGGACATTTGGGACACTGGGGGGGACGTTGGGGACATTTGGGATATTGGGGGGACATTGGGGGGGACATCGGGGACATTTGGGGACAAGGGGGGGCACTGGGGGCCACGGGGACATTGGGGGGACATTTGGGACACTGAGGGGACATTTGGGACACTGAGGGAGGGGGGACACGGGGCACAAGGGGGGGGGGACACAAAGGGGGACACACGAGGTGTCCCTGTCCCCGTCCCCGCCCGTGTCACACCCCCCCCGTCCCCCCCAGGACCCGCCGAGCCCGTCCCTGTCCCCGAGCCTTGGGGACAAGCGGCGACGTCGCTGCTGCGGGGGCTGGCGCTGCTCCCCGCGGGGACACGGGACGGGACACGGACACGCGAGGGGACACGGGACGGGACACGGGACGGGACACGGCCCCAGAGGGGACTCTGGGCGTGGCTCCGGGATTTGGGGACCTGGATCCCGACACCCGAGGGGCGACCCCAGGGACCCCCGGGGGGGCGACCCCAAGGGCCGGGGGGGTGGCCCCAGGGACCCTGGGCACGTCCCCAAGTGCCCTGGGGGCGTCCCCAAGGACCTGAGGGGCGTCCCCAAGGAGGGGGGGGGACGTGTCCCCAAGGGGCGGGGACGGCGGAGGCGCGACCCCGGGAGGAGGGGACGGGTCCCCAAGAGGAGGGGACGGGTCCCCAGGGACAGGGGACACGTCCCCGAGGGGAGGGGACACGACCCCAGGATGAGGAGACGGGTCCCCAAGAGGAGGGGACGCGACGCCAGGGCCAGGGGACAGGTCCCCAGGAGGAGGGGACGGGTCCCCAGGAGGAGGGGACGGGTCCCCGAGGGGAAGGGACAGATCCCCGGGGACAGGGGACAGGTCCCCAGGAGGACACGGGGCCCCAGGAGGAGGACACGGGTCCCCAAAAGGAGGGGACAGGTCCCCAAGGGGAGGGGACAGGTCTGCAGGGACTCAGGACACGTCCCCGGGGACGATTCCCACCCCACCAGAGACAGGGGACAGGTCCCCGGGGACAGGGGACAGGTCCCCGGGGACAGGGGACAGGTCTCCAGGGACAGGGGACAGGTCCCCAAGGACAGGGGACAGGTCTCCGGGGACAAGGGACAGGTCCCCGGGGACAGGGGACAGGTCTCCAGAGACAGGGGACAGGTCCCCAAGGACAGGGGACAGGTCTCCGGGGACAGGGGACAGGTCTCCAGGGACAGGGGACAGGTCCCCAAGGACAGGGGACAGGTCTCCGGGGACAGGGGACAGGTCCCCAAGGACAGGGGACAGGTCTCCGGGGACAAGGGACAGGTCCCCAAGGACAGGGGACAGGTCCCCAAGGACAAGGGACACGTCCCCGGGGACGTCCCCCGGTCCAGGAGTGGCCGAGGAGGAGCCTTGGGGACATCGGGGACACCGCGAGCCAGGACACGTCCGGGGCCACCAGGAACAGCGACAGCCACGGTGAGGGGACAGCGGGGACCTCGGGGACACCTCGGGGACACGGAGGGACTTCGGGGACACGGGGGGGGCGAGTGTCCCGCCCTGTCCCTCACCGTGTCCCCTCTCCAGGTTGGGGACACTCGGAGGAGCCGCGGGAGTGGCCGTGACACCGGGGGGGACGTCCCGGGCCCGGGGCGCTGCCACCGTGTCCCCGTGTCCCCGATGTCCCCAACCTGTCCCTGTGTCCCCACCCCGATGTCCCCAACCCGTCCCGATGTCCCCAACCTGTCCCCTCCTGTCCCAATGTCCCCACCCCGATGTCCCCAACCTGTCCCAATGTCCCCAACCTGTCCCAGTATTCCCAACCTGTCCCTGTGTCCCCCCCCCCGATGTCCCCCCCCGATGTCCCCCCCCGTCCCCAGTAAAGGTGGAGCTGCAGCGTCGTGGCTCTTTTTTTTTTCTTGGGGACATTTGGGGACATTTGGGGGGTCGAGGGCGCTGCCGGCTCTTCTTGGGGCCACCTCGAGGTCCGGGGGGGTCCAGGACACCGGTGGTGGCTCTTCTTGGGGACATTTGGGGGTCCAGGTTGGTGGTGGCTCTTCCTGGGACGTTTTTGGGGTCCAGGGCACCGGTGGCTCTTCTTGGGGACATTTTGGGGGTCCAGGGGGGTGGTGGCTCTTCTTGGGGACATTTGGGGACATTTTGGGGTCCGGGGCACCGGTGGCTCTTCTTGGGGACATTTGGGGACATTTTGGGGTCCAGGTTCGTGGTGGCTCCTCTTGGCCCCCCTCCCCCGAGGTCTTTGCCCCTCCCCCCCCATTTTGGGGGTCACTGGTTGCCCCCCGATGTCCCCCCCCTCGATGTCCCCCCCGATGACGTCACGGGGGTGTCCCCGCCCCCTCCCCCCTCCCAGTCGGGCAGGGGGGGCCACGGCGCGAGGGGGAGCCCGGGGGGGGGAGGGGCGGGGTCGGGGGGGGAGGGGTCGGGGTCGGCCCGGGGGGGTCACCCACCCCGAACCCCCACCCCCCCCCCCCCCGCCCCCCCGGGGGGTGGGGGCCCTGGGGGGGGGAAGGGGTCGAGGAACGACGTCCGGACATTCCTGGGGGGGGGAGGGAACAAGGGGGAGGGGTCAGACCCCAGTGCCCCCCAGTGCCCCCCAGTGCTCCCAGTGACCCCCCAGTCCCTCCCAGTACCCCCCAGCACCCCCCAGTGCTCCCAGTGCCCCCCAGTGCCCTCCCAGTAACCCCCAGTGCCCTCCCAGTCCCTTCCAGTGCCCCCCCAGTGCTCCCAGTGCCCCCCCAGTGCCCCCCAGTCCCTCTCAGTCCCCCCCAGTGTCCTCCCAGTGCCCCCCAGTCCCTCCCAGTGCACCCCAGTCCCTCTCAGTGCCCCCCCAGTGCCCCCCCCAGTGCTCCCAGTCCCTCCCAGTATTTGGGGGGGTCCTTACCTGTCACTGGTCCCGCTGACTCCGGCGCAGCACTGGGAGCACTGGGAGCACTGGGGGAGCACTGGGATGGCACTGGGAGCACTGGGAGCACTGGGAGGGCCCCCCCGGCTCTTAAAGGGGGGTGGGGGAGGGGCTCGGACCGGTTCGGGGGGTCCCCGTGGGCTGGGAGGGGGCGAGGCCGGGACCGGCCGTACTGGGAGCACTGGGAGCACTGGTTTGGTGGTGGTGAGGGGGGGAGGGGCCCTTCCCCTCCCCCCGCGGTTCCGGCCTCGCCCCTGGGGTGGGGGAGGGGCCACCTGGGGTTCAGGTGAGGCCGTGGGGGGGGGGGCGGGGCCTCTTTGGGGTCAAACTGGGCCCTTTTGGGGTCAAACTGGGTGATGTCCCCACCCCTGCCCAGTTACCCCCAGTTGCCCCCAGTTGTCCCCATCCCAGTGTCCCCAATCCACTCCCAGTTTGTCCCCAGTGCTCCCAGTTTGTCCCCAGTGTCCCCCATCCCATTCCCAGTGTCCCCAATCCACTCCCAGTTTGTCCCCAGTGTCCCCCATCCCATTCCCAGTGTCCCCAATCCACTCCCAGTTTGTCCCCAGTGTCCCCCATCCCATTCCCAGTGTCCCCCATCCCAGTCCCAGTTTGTCCCCAGTGCTCCCAGTTTGTCCCCAGTGTCCCCCCGTGGGCAGGGACCAGTCCCACCAGTTCAACCAGTACCGGGACACAGCCGGGGTCACCTTTGGGGTCACCTTTGGGGTCACACTTGGGGACGTTTTGGGGACATTTTGGGGTCCCATTTGGGGTCATGGACGAGTCCGGCGCCGGCTCCAAGGACTTTATTGGGATTGGGGGCTCCGGGGGGCTCCCGAGGGATCCGGATCCCCCCTATTTCCTGCACCCCCCGCAGCCGGAGGGGTCGGATCCTTCCCTGGATCCCTCCCTGGATCCTTCCCTGGATCCGTAAGATCCCGTCCCGGAGGTGGATCCGGCCCCGGACCCCGATCCCGGGTTGGATCCCCCCCCGGAGGGGCCCCGTCGGACCGGGATGTACCCCCCGATCCGGGCGGGATCCCGCAGCCCCGGCACAAACGGGATCCCGGGATTCTTGTACCCGGGGCGCTGGACACCCCCCGAGGATCCCGGCCCTCCGTAGGATCCCGACCCTCCATAGGATCCCGGCCCTCCGTAGGATCCCTGTCCACCCCCATAGGATCCCGACCCTCCATAGGATCCCGACCCTCCTCCGTAGGATCCCGGCCCTCCATAGGATCCTGATCCACCCCCATAGGATCCCGACCCTCCATAGGATCCCGACCCTCCTCCATAGGACCCTGACCCTCCGTAGGATCCCTGTCCACCCCCAGAGGATCCCGGTCTTCCAGAGGATCCCGACCCTCCTCCATAGGATCCCTGTCCACCCCCGTAGGATCCTGGTCTTCCAGAGGATCCCGATCCGCCCCCGTAGGATCCCGACCCTCCATAGGATCCTGATCCGCCCCCGTAGGATCCCGGTCTTCCATAGGATCCCGACCCTCCTCCGTAGGATCCTGACCCTCCATAGGATCCCTGTCCACCCCCAGAGGATCCTGGTCTGCCCCCATAGGATCCTGACCCTCCTCCGTAGGATCCTGACCCTCCATAGGATCCTGATCCGCCCCCGTAGGATCCTGGTCTGCCAGAGGATCCCGACCCTCCGTAGGATCCCGATCCGCCCCCGTAGGACTCGGGTAGTCCGTAGGATCCCGAGTTGTCTCCGTAGGATCCCGAGTTGTCTCCGTAGGATCCCGAGTCATCCCCGTAGGAATCCAGGCCCCCGTAGGATCCGGATCCGCCTCCAGCTTGGGATCCGTTGCCTGATCCTGATCCTGATCCTGATCCAGGTCTGCCCGATCCAATTCCCCCCTGGGATCCGGGTCTGCCTGATCCGGGTCTGCCGGATCCAGGTCTCCCCAATCCCGGTCTCCCTGATCCAGGTCTCCCTGACCCGGATCCAATTCCCCCCTGGGATCCAGGTCTCCCTGACCCGGATCCAATTCCCCCCTGGGATCCAGGTCTGCCTGATCCAGGTCTGCCCGATCCAGGTCTGCCCGATCCAGGTCTGCCCGATCCCGGTCTCCCCACTTCGGGTCTCCCCGATCCCGATCCGCCCCCGTAGGACCCGAGTCCGTAGGATCCCGAATCGCCGGAGGATCCCGATCCCCCCCCGGAGGATCCCGATCCGCCTCCTGAGGATCCCGGTCTGCCCCCGGAGGATCCGGAGCCTCCGTAGGATCCCGATCCTCCATAGGATCCTGATCCGCTTCCATAGGACCCCGATCCGCCTCCCGAGGATCCCGGTCTGCCCCCGGAGGATCCCGATCCCCCGTAGGATCCCGAGTTGCCCCCGTAGGATCCGGGATCTCCGGGATCTCCGGGATCTCCGGGATCGGTGTCCGTGTCCCCCCCCCGCTGGGGGCTCAGAATTCCCGGGGGGTCCTTGCAGGGATCGACCCCCGCCGGCAGCGGCTCCAGCCGGGACCCGGAGCCGGAGGCGCAGCGGACGGAGGAGGCGGCTGGGGGGACCAGTACGGACCAGTTCAGACCAGTACGGACCGGTATGGACCAGTACAGACCAGTATGGACCAGTATGGACCAGTAACCCCCATCTCTGTCCCATCCATCCCAGTCCAACCCAGTCCCTCCCGGTTCCCATCCCTGTTCCCGTCCCAGTCCAGCCCAGTCCATCCCAGTTCCCATCCCAGTCTCTCCCAGTCCATCCCAGTAACCCCCCATCTCTGCCCCGTCCATCCCAGTCCATCCCAGTTCCTCCCAGTCCATCCCAGTTCCCATCCCAGTCTCTCCCAGTCCATCCCAGTAACCCCCCATCTCTGCCCAGTCCATCCCAGTCCATCCCAGTTCCTCCCAGTCCATCCCAGCCCATCCCAGTCCACCCCAGTCCCCATTCCAGTCCACCCCAGTCACCCCAGTCCCTCCCAGTCCCCATATCAGTCCATCTCCGTCCCTCCCAGTCCCTCCCAGTCCCTCCCAGTCCCTGTCCCAGTTCACGTCCCCACAGCGTCCCTCCCGTCCTAATCCCGGGCCCTCCCAGTTTATCCCAGTCCTAATTCCAGGCCCTCCCAGTCCCCCTCCCAGTCTATCCCAGTCTATCCCAATCCCCCCAACCCCCCTCCCAGTCTGTCCCAGTCTATCCCAGTCCCCCCAATCTCCATTCCAGTGCCCCCATTCCCTGTCCCAGTCTCTCCCAGTACCTCCCAGTCCCCCTGTTCCTCCTCCCAGTCCCCTCCAGTGCCCCCAATCCCCCTCCCAGTCCCTCCCAGTCCCTCCCAGTGCCCCCAGTCCCCCTCCCAGTCCCTCCCAGTCCCCCCAATCCCCCTCCCAGTCCCTCCCAGTCCCTCCCAGTGCCCCCAGTCCCCCTCCCAGTCCCTCCCAGTGCCCCCCAGTGCCCCCAGTCCCACCTGGGGTCCCTCCCAGCAGCAGCAGGAGGAGGAGGAGGAGGGGCCGCGGGGGCGGGGCCATGGCGGGGCCACCTGAGGGCCACCTGAGGGCCACCTGAGGGCCACCTGGGCCAGGGGACACCTTAAATAGCGCCCGGGGGGGCGGGGCCTCCGAGGGAGGGGGAGGGGCCGGGCCACGCCCACCCCAAAACAGCCCCTGAGTCACCGGGATTGACCCGCTTGGGGGGGGGAGGGGGCACCTGGACACACCTGGACACACCTGGGGGGCACCTGGATACACCTGGATACACCTGGGGCAACACCTGGGGGCACCTGGATACACCTGGACACACCTGGGGGGCACCTGGATACACCTGGATACACCTGGATACACCTGGATACACCTGGATACACCTGGGGGGCACCTGGATACACCTGTATACACCTGGGGGGCACCTGGATACACCTGGGGGGCACCTGGATACACCTGGATACACCTGGGGGGCACCTGGATACACCTGGATACACCTGGGGGGCACCTGGATACACCTGGATACACCTGGGGGGCAGCTGGGGTACACCTGGACACACCGGGGGGGGCATCTGGATACACCTGGACACACCTGGACACACCTGGGGGGGCACCTGGATACACCTGGATACACCTGGGGGGCACCTGGATACACCTGGATACACCTGGGGGGCACCTGGGGGGCAGCTGGGGTACACCCGGGGGGCACCTGGATACACCTGGACACACCTGGGGGGCACCTGGATACATCTGGATACACCTGGGGGGCACCTGGATACACCTGGATACACCTGGATACACCTGGACACACCTGGACATACCTGGGGGGCACCTGGGCACACCTGGGGTACACCTGGATATATCTGGAATACACCTGGGATACACCTGGGATACACCTGGGGGGTCACTTGGCTCGCGTGGTCCCTTTTTTGGGGGGGTCAGAGGTCACCTGTCCCCCAAAATGAGGGGTCAGGGCTCACCTGTCCCCCCCAGGTTTGGGGTCAGGTTTGGGGTCAGGTTTGGGGTCAGGGCCGTTTTTGGGGTCAGGGCCGTTTTTGGGGTCAGGTTTGGGGTCAGGTTTGGGGTCAGGGCCGTTTTTGGGGTCAGGTTTGGGTGTGGCGGGTGCAGCCGACGCCGACCCCTCCCCCCTCCCCCCGCCCCGCGGTTTTGGGGTGGGTTTGGGGTGGGCCCGGGGTGGGTTTGGGGCGGGCGGGGCCCCCCCGGAAACCGCCGATTAAAGGGGTGGGGGAGGGGGGGAGGGGCGCGTGCCCCTCCCCCACCCCCCGGGACCGGGAATTTGGGGGATTTTGGGGGGAAATGGGGGGGTTTTGGGGGGGTTTTGGGGGATTTGGGGGGATTTAGGGGGGATTTGGGGGGAAGCTGAGGGGGGTGGGTTGGTCTCAGGGGACTTTGGGGGCATTTGGGGGGATTTAGGGGGGATTTGGGATCCAGGGGGGAATTCCCGGGGATTTGGGGAAGATTTGGGGGGATTTGGGATCCAGGGGGGTCCGGGGAGTGCCAGGGGGGAATTCCCGGGGATTTGGGGGGATTTAGCGGGGATTTGGGGTATTTAGGGGGGATTTGGGATCCAGGGGGGAATTCCCGGGGATTTGGGGGGATTTCGGTGGATTTGGGGGATCAGGAGGGATCCGGTGTCTCCCCCCCCCCAAATTTGGGACGATCCCCCCCCCCAAATTTGGGACGATCCCCCCCCCAAACCCTCCCCCCGCCCTGGCGTTGCCGCCGCCGGCGACCCTACAACAACAACGCCCCTTTTGGCCACGCCCCCTCCGCGCAGGCCACGCCCCCTCCTCACACAAAGACGACCCTCCCCCTCCCCCCCTCCCCCCTCCCTCCGGGGGGGGGATTCCCCGACACCCCCCCAAAAAAATCCCTGGAATTCCCTCCCCTCCCGCCCCTCCCCCCCCTCAGGACCCTCCCCCCTCCCCCCGCGCATTTTTGGGGGAGGGAACCCCGCCCTTCCCCTCCCCCTTCCCCCCCCCAAAAACCCTCCCAAAGTGGGGGAGGGGCCCCCCCGCCCTCTTCCTTCGGAAAGTAAAGAACCTACCCCCCGCCACCACGACCCTCCACTACCCACACCCAGGCGCGGGAAAAGCGATTTTCCTCCCCCCCTCCCCCTCCCTTCCCTCCATCCCACTACTTCCTCCCAACCCTAACTTCTCCCTTCCTCCTCCTCCTCCTCCTCCCCACCTCGCAGCAGCCTCCGGCACGGGGTGAGTATTTTGGGGATGGGGGAGGGGGGGGATGGGGACGGGGGGGGGGGGTCCTCCGGGGTGGGGGAGGGGCGGGATTCCCCCTCCTTTCTTTCCCTCCCCTCCCCCACAAAAGGGCCTCGCCCGGAACGTCCCGATCCCCCCCTCCCCTCCCCCCCCTCCGGCCACACCCCACGCGCGGATTTTGGGGAGGTTTTGGGGGGTCCCGGAGGTCCCCGACCCCCCACCCCGACCCCCGCGACCCCTCGAAGGGTCCCGTCCCCCCCCCTCCCCCCCCCGAGCCCCCTTTTTTGGAAGGAGCTTTTTCCCGGCGCTTCCCGTAGGGCCGGGATCCCCCCCCGCGGGAATTTTGGGACCCCCGGGATGTCCTGGGACCCCCCCGGGAATTTTGGGACCCCCCCAAGATGTCCTGGGATCTCCCGTGGGAATTTTGGGACCCCCAGGATGTCCCGGGACCCCCCCGGGATTTTTGGGACCCCCGGGATGTCCTGGGACCCCCCCCCCCAGACCCCCAGGACCACTGGGATGTCCTGGAACACCCCCTGTGGGGTTTTTGGGACCCCCTGGATGTCCTGGGACACCCCCTGGGACCCCCCCCGGGAATTTTGGGACCCCTGGGATGTCCCGTCCCCCCCCAAAGGCCCCAGGGGGGGGTGACAGTGGCTGCTGGCCCCGAGTGTCCCCGAGTGTCCCCGAGTGTCCCCCCGGCACCACCCCAGACCCCATCCCAGCTTCCCCAGCCATTCCCAACCATCCCGCTCCAGGACGGCCGATCCCACTCCCACCCATCCCATTCCCACCCATCCCACTGATCCCACTGATCCCACTGATCCCATTCCCATCATTCCCACTGATCCCACTGTCCCAGGATGGCCGTTCCCTTTCCCATTGATCCCACTGATCCCACTGATCCCATTGATCCCACTGATCCCATTCCCATCATTCCCACTGATCCTGTTGTCCCAGGATGGCCGTTCCCTTTCCCACTGATCCCATCGATGCCATTGCTCCCACTGATCCCATTGCTCCCATTGATCCCATTGCTCCCATTCCCATTGATCCCATCGATCCCATTGATCCCATTGATCCCATTGCTCCCATTCCCACTGATCCCACTGCTCCCACTGCTCCCACTGCTCCCATCATTCCCATCATTCCCATCATTCCCATCATTCCCGTTGCTCCTGCTGTCCCAGGATGGCCGTTTGCATTCCCATTGATCCCATCAATCCCATTCCCGCTGTCCCAGGATGGCCGTTTGCATTATTCCCATTGATCCCATCGATCCCATTCCCCCTGTCCCAGGCTGTCAGTTCCCATTATTCCCATTTTTCCCATCACTCCCATTCCCATTCCCCCCATTCCCAGATGTCGGTTCCCATTATTCCCATTATTCCCACTGCTCCCACCACTCCCATTCCCATTCCCCCCATTCCCAGATGTCGGTTCCCATTATTCCCATTATTCCCATCACTCCCATTCCCGTTCCCCCATTCCCAGATGTCGGTTCCCCCCTGGAAGCAGCAGCTGCTGGAGCGGCGCCGGCGGGAGGAGGAGGCCGAGCGGGAGCGGGAGCGGGAGCGGCGGGACCGGGCCGCCCAAATTCCCGCCTGGAAGCGGGAGCTGCTGGAGCGGCGCCGGGCGCGGGGGGGGGGCGCGGGGACCCCGGGGGGGGCCCTGGGGGGGCTGAGCCGCAGCTCCGAGGGGCTCGAGGTCTGCGGGACCCCCGGGGGGGGGTCGGAGACCCGCGGGATTCCCGATGGGATCGGCGGGACCCCCCCCGAGGGGATCGGCGGGACCCCCCCCGAGGGGATCGGTGGGACCCCCCCCGAGGGTCCCCCCGAGGGCCCCCCCGGCCGCGTGAGCCGCCTGCGGAGCCGCTTCGCCCCCCGGAGCCCCCCCGGGAGGTCCCTCAGCTCCGAGGGGCTCCCGGGACAGCGGGGGGGGGAGCGGGGACATCAGGGGGAACGGGGGGAATGGGGACAACGGGGACAACGGGGGGACCGGGGGGATGAGGGGGAACAGGGCTGGGGGTCGGACACCCCCGGGGGGACGGCTGAGACCCCCAGGGTGGGCAGGGGACAAGGGACAGGCACGGAGAGGGGACACGGGACGGTCACCAGCGTGGGGACAGGGGGTGGTCTGGGGACAGGGGGAGGTTTGGGGACAGGGGGAGGTTTGGGGACAGCCAGGGGACAGGGGACAGTGGAGGGACAGGGGACGGACAAGGGACACGGGTTGGTGGCCAGCGCGGGGTCAGCCGAGGGTTTGGGGACAGCTGAGGGACAGCAGGTGACCAAGACCCCCAGGACAGTCAAGGGTCACGGTTTGGGGACGGCAGAGGGACAGGGGACGGTCAAAGGTCACAGTTTGGGGACAGTGGAGGGACAGGGGACGGTCAAGGGTCATGGTTTGGGGACAGCAGAGGGACATCAGGCATTGGAGACCCCCAGGACGGGGACGGTCGATGGCCTGGGGTCACCCAAGGCCACGGGGACGGCCGAGGGTCAGCGGGGGACAAAGACCCCCGGGACGGTCAAGGGACACCCGTTGGGGACAGGGGAGGGGGTGGGGACAGCCCAGGACGGGGGGACGGGGGGGGGACAGGGGACGGTCACCAACGGGGGGTCACCCGAGGGTCACCCGGGGCCGAGCAGGGGTCAGGGGACAGTGGAGGGACAGGGGACGGTCAAAGGTCAGGGGTTGGGGACAGTGGAGGGACAGGGGACGGTCAAGGGTATGGTCAAGCGCTGGAAGAGGGTGGAGGGACGTGTTTCAGCAGGGGGTCAGCAGGGGTCAACGGGGGGACAGGGGACACCACGGGGTCATGCAGTGGGTCAGCAGGTGTCAACGGGGGGACAAGGGACACCAGGGTCATCAGGGGTCACCGGGGGGACAAGGGACACGAAGGGGTCATCAGGGGTCACCGGGGGGACAAGGGACAGTTGATGGCCACGAGGTCATGGGGCCAACCAAGGGCTGTGGGACCCCCGTGTCCCCCCCCACCGTGTCCCCCCTCGTGTCCCCCCCACCCCCCGTGTCCCCCGTGTCCCCCCCCGGTGGGGGCGTGGCCGGGGCGTGTCCCGGGGCGTGTCCCGGGGTGTCCCCTCCGCTGGGGGGGGGCTCGGGGGGCGGGGTCGGTGTCCCCGGGTCCGGGACGATGCGGGGGGATGTCCCCGGGTCGGTGGCGACGGGGGGGCCGGGGGGGGTCGCGGGCGGTGTCCCCAGGCCCGGGACGATGCGGGGGACCCGCCGGGACCCCCCCGGTCCGTGCCCCCCCCACCCGGCCCTGCAGCGCCGCAGCGGGAACACCATCACGGTGCGGCCCCG